AGGTTTTTTGAGAATGTTCTTGTAGAGGAAATCAAGTAGATCATTTCTAGAAAAAGCTCGAACTCAATAGTCAAACACTTTCGGGAGAAAAAAAGCCGCGAAAAAATCCGCAATAATTATGCATCAACCTAATAGTTCTCTTCGATCTAAGCGACACTGCTATCACATAGCTACAGGCTCGACCGCTCTCCTGATTTCCATAGGCGCTTTTCATACAATCTTTCTTTTGATTGCGATTTCTCTTCATTTATAATGAAGCTGCTGCGGACTATCGACCTTACGCTGGCCTGAACAGTACTCTCGGTGTCGTGCTCTTCCGTACCCTATCAACACACTACGAACTGTAAATCATTCGAAGATAAGTAATCAAAGTCGTATCAACATTCGCAGCGATTGAACTTCTCATGGAAGTCGCTATGTCCAATAGTGCTGCAACATTAGTAAGTTTGTATTGATATACGACCAGGAACAAAATTTCTTCCACAAGTCATCACCAAATCAGCGAATAGTTGCAGTTTGGTCAAGCTGATCTTGGTATGGGAAAATCGACCCGGGATTATTACTTGGATAGAGCTAAGCATGAAAAAAGAATTGGAGCTTACAGAAAGCTCCTTATTAGCGAGGTAACTGTTGCCACCTTTCTCTTTCTAACTTCTCTTTTTTGAACTGCTTTTTTGATGCATTGATAAGGTGGATCTTTAGAATCCTTTAGGTGGAACTGATCAACGAATACGATAATCGCTCTTACAACTATGAGAAAATCGCGCAAGATGTGGACGAGATAATCGATTTCGAGACAAAAATTGCAAAAGTTATGGTAGCAGAGCAGGATCGCCGAAACTTCTTCGAAATGTACAATATTCGACGCCTTAGCGATCTGCAGAAGCTCATGCCTATGGTGAGTTTGGTTGGATTTTCCTTTGTTTCCTATAGGTTGAAGGAAGGTTGTCCATGATTTCAGAGAGCAAGGTTTTCAGATTGATTGGACCAGATACCTTTATTCCATTGCACCCTATTCTGTTCACAAATACTTTGCAAACGATCCAAATGTCTTAATCAGAGAGATTGATTATGTGAGAAGGTTAGTTACATAGGACTTCCAACTAGTATTAAATTAAAGATGATCAATTTTCGAGGATCACAGAACTGCTGCAGTTAACGGACCCTCGAATCATCACCAATTACATATTCATTCGCTTCACTTCCTCATGGGGCAAAGAGCTTGGAGAGCGATTCCACGACGTCCTTCAGGTTAGAAATAGTACTAAATACAGCTTTTAATAATGTCGAAGAGAAAAATTTAAGTTTCTGCCGCTTTTGCTATGGAACACTGCAGTTCCTGTTAAGTCCTCTCAGTTTATATCGTGAGCCGGTCGAACTTCTGACGGACGATCCCACAATCTCAGTAAGTCATAAGACAGCAGTCTGAAGAGGACATGAAGTTGAGCGAGAGCGCGTGCATAGGGCAGAAAAGGTACAGGGGCAGAAGTTGTGGCACACACACGCATGGCCTATTGTTCGAGGCCATACCTGTATGTCTGCTGATGAGCTACGGCTAAAAAGCAATCAGAGGCACAATACACGATAGAATAGTTTCTAAGGATGCTCCTGGGATGAACGTGTGACGTCAAGGGGTCGAAAGGTGGCCTGGATAGGGCGTAATAGAACACTCAAACCGGCTTAGCTGTATGTACATACTCAGAGGCGCACGAGTTCCAACGGTGTTGTAGAGGCTATAGAGGTCGCTCCGTTCCTACCGGGATGCTTACGTTGCAAGTATGCAGTATACTGCAGTATATGCACTGGCACACCCATTTGAACAGCTCGTCCAAATCCTCCTTCCACGCAACTATTGTCGTCACATTCTCGTCCATCCCTAGTTTTGCAACTTTTTTATATGCGTGTCTATATATACGTGTCTGTCCTGTCTTTATATACGTGTCTAAATCTAGATAACTTCAACTTTGTGAACTGTGCCATTGAAAAAGTAAAGGCAAGCATGGTCACGGTATTGTGGCGAGTAAAGACACATTTCATTATTACGCCCTGTCTTATGGTGGCTTCCCTTCGGGGTCACAGATTCATCTTGAAGTGTGATTCAGAATCCATTTTCATGAACTGTGTCTTCAAAGAGCACAAAAAAAACTGGAACGCATAAGTGCCTTTTCAAATTCTGAGAATTCAAATTCAAGACTGTCCTACAACAAAATGGGCGGTGTAGTAAAATGGTAGTGTGTGTATGTAGTATCCTAGGACCAAAATCGATATCAGTCTTCGCTCAAACGAACCAAGTTGTTCATTTCACCGTCGTCGGTTCATTGGCAGAATTCGTTCAGAAGGATGAAAGCATTGAATTTATATGGGACAGTAACCGCAAAATACTGCATAAAGAAGTCGAATGCTGTTTGCTTCCCAGAAACAAAATTGATCGAGGTCGGGATACTTTGGCCTTAGATCCGTTCCTTCTGATTACTGCTTTGAACTTACCACTTCCAAAAGTTTAATTTGATTTCTCTGCTTAAAATTGAAAAGAAGTGTTCTGGAAGCTCACCTGTAGCAAAGACTCTTCTTTCCGCACCACCCTTCCAACTGTTTGCTTGCGGATACATTTTCTGAACTCACTAGTGGTACATACAAAATTATTTTGATAATTAATTCCAATTTAAGGAGTTTCACCGCTCAATGTATGGGAGAAAACAGAAAGTTCCTTCATGGAAAGAATGCACGTTTTTTACAATAAACAGAATGCCTTATTCTGCTGGAGCCATCTTCGTTAGCGAGGTATACGACAAGGTGAGTCAGTGAGGATGCAAAGCCTTGCTGAGCTGTGTCACCTTAGCCTCAAAATGATTACAGGCTTCAAAAAATGTAACGCTAGACATGGTGAATGATTTGATTGAAGCTTTCAACGAAATGCTTGTCGAAAATGACTGGATGGACAAATCTACGAAAAAGGTCATCAATAAGTTCACACTTTCAGGTACGCAGTAGAAGGAGGGGGACGCACGATACACGCGTGACCCCACTAAAGCTCTTTGCGCACGCAGCATCGCTTCAGTTCCCTTCTGTTGAGATGGACCAAGGTAGATCTCTTTACTATGGCAATGGAACCCTTTCGAGATCAAGAATCTACTCCATTGGTCAACAGTTTACTTGTCAAAGTTCAAAATAAGAATACCTAAATTTTTTGATCCTAGAAAACGCAATTCTTCTGTGAACGTGGATGATTTGTAATCTTTTTACTTATGTTTTATAGGTTCTTATTTACCCATTATGATGATAGACATGATATTACAGCGCGTCTCATCCGATGACTACATTATATTGACGCGTGAATCGCACCACACGCATAGAAGCAGTGGTTCGACAGAACGTGTACTATTTCAGGCCGCTTTCAAAAAAGCGAAGGGAATGCTAAAGCAGATCGCTTATCCGGACTTCATTCTCGACAGCAAGAAACTGGACGCTTATTACAAAGGCGTGAGTGGTACTATTTCGAGGGGCATCGAGGTATGGGGGACAGGATAAAGTCATGTCATCATGAGTGCGTACTTGATTATATCTCTCTCATTTATAAAGCAGTAACTTGGTGTGTCGTAATGGAGTGGTGCGAGTGCTGCGGAATGTTGTGAGCATTGAGTGAAGCGAATACTTCGAGACTGTGACTTTGATCGGTACTGGCATAGTATTGTGTTTGCCTATACAGAATTTGGAATTTGGCTACCTCATTCATTGCTTCTTCTTCATTTTCTACCCTTCTCATTTCAGTCTAACAATACGCAAAAGAATCCCTTGTCCTCCTAAGGCGAAGCGAAAGCGATCGGTTAACCCGCCACTTTCTTTTGAATTCATTTAGCACAGCGTAGGCGGCATTGCATATGGAGCAGTTACGTGAATATCCCTAACGACCATCAACGCACAACTCGAACGAGGATATCAGATCCTTACAGAATTAAAGGCATCCTTGGCTCTGGCTAACCTATGTCTCGTGGTGAGGTGAGGAACTGACGCTCTCCGCAGAAATGAAACTTTGAGCAGACTGCATCGGTATATCTGGCTATAGAGTTCGAGCGAAAATTTCGGAACGGTATGTATATCAAACATACGTTTTTCGAAACACCCCCAGGTAAATGCCCATTGGAAATAGTTGTTCTTACAAAACTGATTGTGTTGAATGTTGATGCTCCCAGAAAGAGCATTTGGGTTGAGTGGCTGAAAGGATTATCAGTTCTTCAGTCGATCCGAAATTTCGAAGAGATATGCTTTACGTGAATATCCCTAACGACCACCAACGCACAACTCGAACGAGGAAATCAGATTCTCACAGATTGAAAGTCATCCCGGGCTCTGGCTCATATATGTGGTGTTGCGAGGTGAGGATTTGACCCTCTCGGAGAATTAAAACTTTTTTGAACCGGTAAATCTAACCCGAATTTAAACCAAAAATTCGGAATGGTATGTGTTTTCAAACATGCGTTTTTTGAACTCCCCTAGATGAATCTTCCGGGAGGACCCTAATCTCACTGAACCGACTGGGAGCACGGTTCATGCTGAATCATAACTTTTCATGTGAAACGGAAGTTGCAAAGAAATACGCGTCGCATGATTATTATGGACCTGATACCATTATACTTCTACAATGAAGGAGGAGGAGAGCCCGGCGTTAGCTGGGCGATCCGACTGGTAATAGAATGAATTGGCCAGCCATTTATGAGTCAATGCTTTCAAGCTACCGGAAGAGGGAGAGATACAAAGTGCCCTAATCCGAAGGTTGAAGGTGTGGTCGGCCCAGACGATATCCATCCCAGGACCTGCATGTATTACTGGTTCAATGAGAATATTTATTCTGATAATAAACACTGAAATACCATGAACGTGGGTGGGGCAGAACCAAGACTGATGACAAGCCCCGCCGCTAAGGAGTAGGGGGGGGGGGGGTGATCGCGGGTTTTGGGCACCGCCAGACCACATCTAACTATAGTGTAACTACAGTGGTTTAACAAGCAAAACAGACTGGGAGGCTCTTAATAGAGGCATTTGAGGGGCACTCAGGAATTGGAGTGGGGGGAACCTGAGACCCCCATAATTCCGTTCAGCGCTTTAGATGAGAGAAACTAGATGAAATTGATGATTCTCGTTGCGCGTTGGACGGGCTGGCCCGTAGAAGGGAAGGATGAATCCCATAGGCCCAGAAATTTTCCGATCTACTGCTCACTAATTGTTTTCTGTCAATTGTGCACCCCTTTTCAACTAGATCGTCTACAGCCGTCCTCCAGCCATTGCACAAACATTTCTTCTACGCCTTACTCTCTTTTTCCACATCTTTTATCGGAAGTGCTATCCCGAGAAATGTCATGAATAACGCTTACGGAGAATCAGACGTATTTTTTCTATTAGATCCGAACCGTCTCACGTCTGGACGTTACCAGTGATACCGCTTAAATCAGAAATCCTTAGGCATTAGTGATATTTTTGAAGCATATTAGCATTCGACGAGTTTTCGTTAGCGACGGAGGTAATCATATGTATGCAGTCTAAGGAGGGAATACCCAGTGTCAAAAAAAAAACGAGATGATTCGAAGGAAGAAATTATTAGAGTGGGGGCAACTGCGTTATCATCACTTTGTTGAGATCACTGCGAGCACAGCTTTGGTTATTTGCTTTTAGTTGTCTGTGGACGAAACCGATTCGTATAGTGAGATAATAGAGAAGCTGTCACAGTGGAAAATCGAGTTTGAATTCAAACGTCTCATCAAGCTCGTTGATCGAAATGAATATGATTTCCTCAACCCCTCGGACGTCAACGCCTACTACTGGCACGAGGCTAACGCGATACGTACGATTTTCCTGCTGATGAAATAGCTTGTCGACTAATTTGAACATTGACAGATATATTTCTTTACAAAGTCGTTTTGCAGTTCTCCCAGCTGCTATCCTGCAGGTGCCTTTCTTCCATCATACATTTCCAAGGTATGATTCAAGATTGCTGATTCGTTAGAAAAGAACTCCAACTAGCAAAATCATCGCGACATTGCTCATATTTCACAGAGCGTCAACTCATTTTTATTTCTTGCGCTGGCCCGTAACACAGTGCTCCTATGGAAGTTATTTATTTTACTTGTTTTAACATTTCCAGGGCTATCAGTTATGGCGGACTCGGTTCGGTGGTTGGCCACGAAATTACTCATGGGTTTGACGATAAGGGTAACGTTTTCATAATTTTCTCTCAATTTTTTTTGACTCTAAAGCACAGTTCCCGATGAAAGTAGTTTCTGGGATTTCCCCATAGGACAATTTGAGGCCCCTCGTATATCATATCTGGCGCTATCAGGTTGGAAAATGGCCTGGTTAGAGCGTTATAAAGCCCCCAGCTACGAGTTTCACCGGCATTGCAGAGGCTGTCCCACTCACAAGGGAACCCATGTAGGAGACCTGGGCAACTTGTCATGACTCATAGCGACAGTGAATGGCAATTCTGTACAGTTCTGGCCTGATGAAGTCAGCTCTTTGCGCAATTGCAATAACTGAAATCTCGTCCGAAGATCTCCTTCCACGTTATTCCCGTCGTGATAATCTCGTGCAACCTCCATTTCCCTTACTTTTGAGGAGCCTTATTTTTCAGGAAATTGGCGGATTTTCTCGCTTTCTTAACTACCGATTAACTATTGCTAACCTATACTTCGGCTCTTTGAATAAAAAAGGGTACCTCGAACTCATCGTGAGCTGTGTCTTTAAATGTGATTCGTTATTGAAGTCGAAACTGAATAGGTCCTACGAAATATAAGATTCTTTTCCTCTTTTTTGAAATAATCTTCCAAATGTTCTGGGGTACACAAGGTGGCCTAAACAAGGAGTCTATTGTCCCTCAGCCGTCATTTACATGAAGGGTGCCCCACAAACATGGATACAACATCACGCCATATCCTCCTTTTGGAGGTTTTCAGGTATCTGCTTTATCTTTTATGTTCGTCATATACTTAGCCTCAAATCTGCTCAGCTACTCTTAATTCGTCGCTTTTTATAAAGTGGCGGAGACTCACTTTCAAACAACACAGTCCTGTCTCTGTACGCACTTGGTTAATCTTTTTCCGACGTTGCTCGTCCTTTTGAAATTTTTTGCACGCACCACGCTGCTACTTCAAAAGGAAGGGCCTTTCTCGAGCAGAATCGACCATTTGAATTTCGAAAGCCTCGTGAGCTTTTCTAGAAGATGAATTAAGGAGGAGGAACAGATTCCTTGTAATATGCGCGAGCGACACGCGCTTCGACACACTTTTTAGTGACGAGAGAGTGTACAGCGTTAAAGAAATTTTTTTAAACATAGAATGAACGTATTTTTCCACTACGAATACAATAGCCATGGAGAAGGCTCGGAGAATTTTCTGTTGCCATTTTCTCTTTTCCATGATGGTTCGGGATGAAATTTTCACCATCAGATCGATATCGCTTATTTTTGTTTGGAAAAGTATCGACATTTATCAGAGCATCTTCATAGAGGGCATTAGGAGGTCGTGCTCAGGATCGAAGAGTATGTTAAGGCTGCCATCTCCACCTTTTCACCCTTTTCCTTTCAAACGAAATGAATTCTCGGTGCTGAGAAAACTTTCGATTGGACTATTAAACTCACCACCACCCGAATGCAATCCAATGGGCCAGTACTTTGGGCATACTCCGTACAAAACAAACACACAGCAAACGCTACTAAGAAATCGTTAAAGGGAGCCCGGATTGAAATTTCTCAAGAAACTGTGCGTGCCAACACCGATGACGAAGCATACTTGAGCTATAATTAGTGGAGAGGATGGTTATATCTAATGACCGTAGGTTCGCCTTCTTAATGGAATGCAGTAAATAGTTCATATCAATGCACCTTCTTCGGTTTTCGCCGCAATGATTTCAAAATTTGATGTGGTTACCAGTGGTTCCCTGGGGTCACTCCGCGATCGCTTTTGCTCTGCGTTGTCGTGCACAATTTGGTTCTTCTATCCTTTTCAGGTGTTCTAAGGATGTTAATTTTCATCACGTTTAGCGACGAACCGCTGGTCTGAGCATCCAGCCCATCTGAGTTTTTTTTTTCACAACAGCTACTAAACTAGCTTCTCTACGCAAAGAGGACTTGAAGAATCTAAACATTATCCAGACAAAAATATAAAGGGATGAGGATCTTTTAGAAAAATACATAATCTGCTAAGGTGACTTCGAAGAGTTTTTATAAAAGAGTCAGTGCATCTGGACTTGGTGGGAGCTTGATTGAGAGAAACTATTTTGATTGCATACCACCATTTGTTCATATACCTGCAGGGTTCTATCTGTAGGAAGTCGCCTGAGCCTCTTTAGGACTGCTAAATGCGCTTAGAACAGTTTTTCGATTCTATGAATGGAAACTTCCATGAAGATGTTTGTTTCTATAAAACTTACCATTATCGAGAAGAGCGGAGCGTGTATTGTCTGAAAAACAAATTTGCTACTCGATAAAATTTTACTCGTATGTACACCGTCTTGAAAACCTTCCGAGGACCTCAGACTTTCCTAGCACACCAATATTATTATACTTCCCTCGCCCCTGGCCCCTCCTTTCCTGCTTATCGAGTTGTTGTGTGCGCGATTATAATATCTTTTCATCGTTTATACGCTCTAACTTTACTCTAATAGTTCGTTACCAACCATTTTCAAGACATTTGAAAAACCATTTAAAGGCACAGTTCACGATAATTTTTAGGTACTCATTTCCATTCGAAAAGCGGAAGTATAGATTGGGAATAGTTCATCGGCAGCGAAAAAAGCTAAAGAATCCGCCGATTTCTTGAAAAATAAGGCTCCTCAAAAGTATAGGAAATGGAGGTTGCACGAGACTACCACGACGAAAATAACGTGGAAGGGGATCTTCGGACGAGATTTCAGTTATTGCTATTGCGCAAAGAACTGACTGCATCAAGCCAGAACGGTACAGAACTGTCTTTCATTGTCGCTATGGGTCATGACAAGTTGTTTGAACTTCCTACATGGGCTCCATTGTGATCGGTGCAGCCTCTACAATGTCGCTGAAACTCGTCCAAAAATACACACGAGCCAATCTTTGAGCCTTTATAACGTCCAAACTAGGCCGTTTTCCGAAATAATAGCGCCAGATATGCTATACGCGGGGACCTCAAATTCATCCTGTTGGGGATTCTCAGCATCCATTTCTATCGTGAACTGTGCCTTTAAATGCTTATCACCGGTACTTGCTACTGGCATCATTTCACTACCATCCTTATTTTAGTCCATGAAACGACTTTTTGCTAGAAGATTTTACCAGAAATGGGCCCCTAGTTGAAAATGATCGGTGCCGAAATACGCTCAAACAATATACATTAGTTTAGAACAACAATTCTTCTAACATTCATCTCTCGAAATTGACTGGCCTACTGCCCTCGGTTTTCAGGTCAGCAATTCGATGCAGCTGGCAGCCTTCGCGACTGGTGGGACGCAGAAGTTAAGAAGAAATTTGTTGAGCGAGCCCAATGTATGATCGACCAGTATGGAAAGATTGAGGTTTGCAGTTGAACGAAGGTTCCTAAATACAAGTAAAATGACGTTTTACAGGTGGCAGGCACTGGCTTAAATATTAATGGCAAGCTCACTTTAGGAGAGAACATTGCTGACAACGGAGGAATCAAGCAAGCCTTGAAAGTTAGTTTTCAATCTCATTACAGAGCACGAAGAAAGATTTGGAGAAGTCTTTTGTAACTCGGTAGGCCAAGATTTTGTTGCATGTAGATGCTTAGCCTACAGGGGTCAAGATAGTGTCTCGAGGCTGATTATAGGATCCAGGGGCATTGGTTACAATTTCTTCACTTTGCTCAACCAACTTTTGCGGCCACCGTGTGACGATAAGCATACAAACAGTTATTTCACCGTCGGAATCCTGATAGTGAAGATGGCATTGACATTCAGCGAAGTGACTGCAGCATCGCCGATTTAGGGCCGGTCGAAACCCCATATCATGTAGCTTTTTCTGGTTTTCTAGTTTCCAACTGTTTCTCCCTTCCCTGGCATCGTAGTATTGTAGCAGTGATGGTTGTACACCCACTGCTCAAACCTCAGTTTTCCTCAAACTGTATATAACAGCTATTGAAAATGGGGGATGACTTCCCAGTGGAGCATTGTGTGTGTTTTCTTTTTCGCACGTTTCCCCAGATCCTCAACTATTTAGGCCTACAGAAAATATTTGAATAAACAAGGGGAAGAGAAGCGTATTGAAGGTTTAGAACAGTACAGCAACGAGCAGATGTTCTTCATAGGATATGCATCGGTAAAGATTTGAAACCTACTGAAACTTCTACAGCATTGTAAGCAAAAGCTCCCGTTTTATAGATATGGTGTGGTCACTATACTAAAGATGCACTTGTTGGCTCGATACTCACTGATACTCACCCGCCAAATAAATATCGGTATGTTTCATAACTCTATATTGAAATCTGCTTCCACGCAAGGACACTATCGCAATGTGCCAATTGAATTTGATCACTTCCTTGGCTTGTCCGTTTCAGAACCCACGTGTTCGATAGGACATTTTTCATATGCAGTAAATTTACATAAGTCAAAGCTGGAGCCACTCTGAAGTGCTCCCTTATCACGAGCCAATCTAAATTTTCTCTAGGTCAACAAGGTGGCGTAGAGGACTATTTACGAAAGCATAAGGGACCGTTCACGATGATGATTAGAAAGATTTTAAGAAATGTTGTTAGCATGGCTTGGGCTTATGCTTTTGTTGACTTTTGCCATGTCTGCCTGTTTGTATGCCATGGAAAAGCCTCACAAAAAAAATTGCGACTTGTTTGTAATATTGCCATGGGAAAGCCTCTCAAAAATTGCGACCCGTTCGTAATACTCAAGCAAGTTTTGAATACATGTACTTTCCAAGTGGCGAAGGGCTTTCTTCTAGGCTTTAAGACCGCCTTTTCTGACCTTCTCGATGGCACCCATAACTTAACAGCACTCAATGTACAGTGTGAATTGGATGTTTACTCATCTTTGCTCACGGTCTTCGCGGTTTCCTTGACGCCATAGGGGCTTACAACTAATTACAGTGTATAAGAACGGGATCAAATGGTGAAATAGCCTCCAAATACCCATTTCCATGGATATGGGCGTGATCACTGTACTGCTGTTGTAGTTTCTGAAGTTCTTCACGAGACTCACGCAAATTTTGGTAAGATGGTATCGCTCTTGCCAACCTCCCTCTTCACATAGGGTATGTCTTCCTTGTAGGATGACGATAGCATAGTCGTAGAGTTTTTGAGATGCTTTTGAAGCCTTCTCATAGGTCTACCCTGGATACTTTGATTACCGCCTCTGACTCGATAGCATCGAATGCCTCCTTAAGTCGATGAATCGAAGAATAACGTCATTTTTCCTCCCGCGATACCCCACTAAATCTTGGGACATGATTAGCATTATCAATGGCAGCCGCGCGATAAGCGAAGTTTTTAGCTGGTACTGGACCATTTAAAGGCACAGTTCACGTAGTTTTGGGTAATCCAGATTATGATGAAAAATGGAAGGCAAGGTTGAAAACAGTGCGATGAAGGTGAAAAAACTGCGTGGATCGGTGTTTCCAAAGTGAAAAAGGCTTCGAAAAATCATGAAAAAGGGGGCTGGACGAGCTATACAATGTGTCTCGCTGCGTGCGTATGGGTCCTGGTGCGAATAACAGACTATGGTAAGCAGAAATTTATTCAGTTATAAGCATAAGTAAACGAAAAACCCTAATAACAGCAAGAGTAGCTCACCTTTTTCAGCCTCTAGGAGTGGGAAATTAAATAAGGGATCGCGGCAGCAAAAAGAATAACAAAGGGAAAAAGAATGGGAAAAAAACATCGCTTCATCACTCGGCGATCAGCTGATTGTGTCTGAGTCCTAGAACGGATGGTTGCAATCTGTTTTGTCTCGACACCCGTCTGACGTGACATCGATCGAAGGGTGGAAAAGGGACAGGGCTTTCACTGTGCCCTAAGCGTCGAGATAGCGGGAGCGAGAGAGTCCCCTCTACCAAACATGGGGGCGCTGAGTATTGATGAGGTAGGAACTCAGTAACCTTTTCTATTGTGAACCGTGCCTTTATATATATATATATTTATTTATTTTTATTTATATTTATAGTTTTATTTATTTATGTATTACATGAGCTAAGCTCATGTGAAGATGATCAAAATAGCACAGTGATACCAACAGACCAAAGAAAACAAAACTGTTAACGAAGCTAACGTGTAAAGAAAGAAAAGTAAACAAAGAAAAAGAAAAAAACTAACTCATAGGACACAAGAAAGGCATAAGAACGGGTACTCTACGGAACCAAGTGATGGTCGATTGAGTTTTTGAAAGCTTTCATACTTAACGGAAAGTTTATAGATCTAGCAACTTTGAGATAGTCCGTGCCGGCTCTTGCTGTGAAGAAATGAAATCGTAGATCGTGCTCAGCTCGCGGAATAACCCGTTTGATGGGGGCAGCTCTGGTAACCGTGGGCCGCGATACAGAACTGACCAGGGTTGAGAGCGCAATGACCACAGAGAATTTTATGAGAGAGAATGAGATCAAACCTGCTTCGTCAATACGAAAGAGTGTACAGCTGAAAATTTTTATCCTTTCCTTACTGGGAGGCATACCATCGTGTATAAACTCGAGGGCCCTAATCATCTATTTTAGAGTGAATGAGTTCTGAACTCGCTCAAGAGCTAGGTTGGATTTGGCTTTTTACGGGTTGAAAACAGGCGTGCCGTATTCGAAAGTGGGCCTGACATAGGTCTTGAAAGCACGTAATGGGACCGCCGTATTTTTAGTAGTAAGGATTCTAAACAAACTATGTACCACAGTGGTAGCCTTTCGTGCGATGTTCTCGCAATGAGCATCGAAGGAAAGGTTCCTTGTGATGAGAAAGCCCGACTCTCTCTGCTGCTCCACCCTTGATTGGTGCTCCTTCTATGCTGTATGAAAATTCTACACTTTTCAACAAAAGATGCATAACACTGATTTTTTCTTTTGACAGCGGTAGGCATCACTTCCTAGACCAGTTGGTAACAGCATCAATGGCCCTCTGAAGGCGCGAACAGTCTTCCAACGAACGCACCGGACAATATAACTTCAAGTTATCGGCAAACGCGGTGCATGAAGCACCACATTCAGTAATGATACAGGGCAATTCAAACGCATAAATGTTGAAGAGGACAGGAGAAAGGACGCCACCCTGAGGCACCCCACCAGAAATGATCCGAGAATGTACCCCAATCAATGAGAGCTTAGTAATTAGCTTTTGGTGATCTACCCGATTAAAAGCTTCAGAAAAATCTAAGTATACCACATCCACGCTCACTCCTTCATCCAAGGATGCGGTCCAGTTGTTAAGCGATTCCAGTAGTGCAGTAATAGTGGATTTACCTTCTTGGAACCCGTGTTGAAACGGTGAAAGAATGGACTGCTCCTTAGTATGCGCTGCAATTTTCTTCTTCAAAATTTTTTTTCAAAAGCACGAGCAAAAGTTGATGTGATACTGATAGGCCGATAATTATCCGGACAATCATAAGGCGCCTTTTTCGGTGTAGGAGTGACATGTGCCATTTTCCGTCTAGAGGGAATTCAGACCTCATAAAACTAAGATTGTAAATATATTGAAGCGGTCCAACAATGACATGAGCAACGTTCTTGATGAAATTAGTCGGTTTCTCATCGGGGGTAAGCGAACAGGAGGAAGGCCAGCACAGCAGGATAGCAAGAAGGTCATCAGCTTGAACTCACGCGGAGACGGACATAACCGAGAACATGTCTAGTTCTGAAAGATCGGTTAAATCCTCTGGTGCGCTCGGAGCAAAGGCCTTCCCGAAGGTGGAAGCAAGTATTTCTGCTTTGTCGTTATCATTATGGAGTCGCCTGCCGTCGTAACCTCTCAAGCAGCCAAGCTTGGCTCTACTAATCTGACGTATTATAAAATACATTCTTACCACTGGACCCGACGACTTTCCTTTCAACGGAGGAGTTGTACTTGAATAGCTCTCGCTCATTTGACTTGCGAAAGGAGGACCAACGTTCTGGTGTGTCATTTAGAGTAACGTCTACCCAAGCCTGCTCCCTCTTGCTATAGAGGAGCCGAAGGTATGACGGTAAGTGGGATCGAGACAAGGGAACATGAATTATAGGAACATACAAGGATATGCAATGTTGAAGTATCGCTAAGAAAAGCTCATACATATCATTGACTGAGTGAGTGAAGTCAAAAGAGGTGTACCATTCGATCCCAGCCAGATATGTCCGGATAGGGTTATAATCTGCATCTTTGAAACTTCGCTTCTTAATGAGTGGCTCACTGGTCGCAAGAAGGATCAAGTCGAAAAGGGTATTATAATGGTCACTACTACCCAGAGGGGGCGCAACAGTCAGACCGTGAATCAACCCCTCAGTGTTGGTCAGCACAAGTCTAGAATATTAACTCCTAATGTGGGCTGCTTAACATGTTGAGTGAGAAGATGAGTTCTGCATAGGTTGAAAAATGATATGGAAACCGCGGAACATTTATCGCTGCAAAGATTCGACCAATTGCAGGGAAATTGAAGTCCCGGGTATGATATGATGCAGCAATAGTCACGGTGTCGTCAGAGATGGGGTCACTTTTGCATGAAGTAACTGATTAGTGGCAGCAGCTGTAGCAGAAGAAGCCCTGCATACGATTAAAAGACGCAAAGAAACGCTATCCAAATTATTCCGTACATCGTCTACACATAGGATCTCATACACGATAGAACAGCTCTCACGGGAAACTATGACAGGAGAGAAGGCTTTCCTAACCAAGATTGCAAGGCCCCCACCTTTTTACGCAACACGGTCGGACCTGATCAGGTCATACTGTGGCCAGCGGTTACCAAGAAAAGACGACCATTGAACGCCTGTGGTCAGCCATGTTTCTGCTATGGTAACTATGTCAATGTCGAAATGTTCAATTTGGTATAAGAGAGCACGTCGATTTTCATGAATAGAGCGTATATTGGTATACAAGCACAGCAAACGGCGCTACCGGTTCCGAGGGGCACTTACAAGACGCACCGACTTGGTTTGCAACAGGAGCACTATTATCAACACTGACATCAGAAACATCAACAAGTTCGGGAAAACTACGATAACCAATCGATTTATCTTGGTTTTTTACCGATTTGGACGAGGAAGTGTTACGCCGTGCAAGCGGCTCCTCTCCTTCCTGGTCAGGGAGGGCCTCATAAAATTTTGGGGATGGAAAAATACCTAAGACGGGGTGCACGGCGCAACACTTGCCTAGCGTAGACCGATACGAGTACGAGGACTGCTACATTAGCAAGCCCCATCCTATAAATAGTTAGCGGAAAGCATTCGATTTCAAGGTAATCAAAAAAATTTTCAAAACATTAATGTCACAAATCAGGCGCTCACTAGGCAATCGAGC